TTAGTTGTTTTTTTTTTTTTTTTTTGTCTTTTGTCTTTTTCCGTGTCCGGCAATGGATCGCAACCCTCAGTGTTGCCCCCGTACCGGACCGGGGACCGGCAACGGGATCGCAACCCTCGGCGTTGCTCCCGCGCCTCTCTCAGCCAGTGAGCGGGAACCGGTCTGCATGTGGGATCCGAACCCTCGAGCGGGAGCGCCGCCGCGCTTCCCAAGCGGCGCACTATCCAGTGCGCCACCGGGCCGGCCCCCAAACTTAGTTTTTAAAAATAACTTTATATTATTGCCTTTGGTCTTCTTAACAACTCTCTGAGGTAGGGAAATTGGATATCTTTTGTCCTGTTTTATAGATGCTACTCAGGTAGAGTGATTTATACAAGGTCACATCAAGGTAAGCTGTGCAACTGAGATTAGAATGGACCTTCTGAATCAGTTTAATTCTGCTTTGTGTTAGGCTACCAAACAGTCTTTCACAATATTTTGCTATAATCAGTGATACCATTTTCTTTCATTGTCTATTACTTCCAAAAGAAGATAAATCACAATTTAACTCTTTAGTATGCCTTCAAACTAATGTGACCAGAAGACTTACTTTGGGGGGAGTGGGAGGTGGGAGTGAGCATATACTTAATTTCTGATGATCTAGCCCTAATGAAAAAGCATGTACTTACCTGTAAGTAAACTGTACAATGCTAATCAATGTTTGTCTTTTAGCCAGAGCAGTTAGAACAGTAGCACTGGATGTATGTAAATGAGAGAAGCTAAACAAGAGGGCTTCAGGGGTAAGACACTAGATGTTGTCATGTGGTCCTAGTGTGCACTATTGCGTCCAGTAAGGGAATCTTCTGTACTTTCTGTTACAGATGCTGAAAATTTCTTCTAAAGAGAAATATCCCTTATTTACTTTTGTAAATGGTCATTCCAGAGACTATGATTTTACATCTACTACAACCAGTGAAGAAGACCTTTTCTCAGAGGATGAAAAGAAAAGATTAAAAAGATTTAGTACGGAAGAGTTTGTCTTGCTTTAAAGATTAGCACATTTGTGCTTGATGAGAAGAACTCCTTTGAAATGGAAAAAGTGAAGAGAAACAAATATACTTGAAACTGGTTTTATTTTCACAAATAAGTTAATTTTATATGTTCTTTAAAAAAAGAAAATTTGAAAATACACCATTTTAAGGATATTTTTCTGAAAGAGAAATGATTTAATGAATCTTACCCTAATGAATATTGAGTGATTCTGGTTGCATTCCTGTTTCCCTAAGATCTGCTGATGATAACTCTGCCATGACTGTAAGCCTTTTAGTCTTCAAAGTCTTCCACCTGAGCCCATGAGTCTCCTCAAGGTTTTGTAATATAGGTCCCTGCCAAAGACTGGGATTACCAAATAGTTTTGAAATCTTCAGTTTGTACTAATGACCAGAGACTAGAGAATGAATCTTAAATGCTGTCTAGCCTCCTGCTGTTAATGCAATTAAAGGATACTTTTGGATTTATCTTGATAATTAAATAGTATTTGTAAGCTGCGATATGTGTATAATTATATAAGCAGAATTGTGAGTTAAAGTAATACTTAGCTGTGATTTTATAATGGCTTGCTGTTGAACCTTCTATGAGGAGTGAATATGAAGTATTTGTTTTCCCCACAAATTGAAAGGTTATGTTATTAATTCTTAACTGCATCTAATCAAATCAGGTAAAGGCAATTATAAAATAGTGGTAGTGTTGTTTCCTATCTCAAAAATGAAATTTTATGGGAACTCAATTTATTATGCAGTTTTGAAATCTAAATATAAGTACCAAGAAAGATATCAATAGATGCTCCTCTATAGGATTTTCACTATCTGTATAAAGCAGTGTAGTGGTGTTTAGAAGTTGAGGCCATCTATAAGGAATTTGCCTTAAGTGTATTATGTGTTACTTAAAGGCAAATTTGCAGTATAAAAGTTCAAGAGTTATTATTGAGCCAAGATTATAAAATAAATACTTTAATAAAGTTATGAGAAGATGAACTGCCTTTGTTTTGGTTTTAATGTTGGGATTATTTTAATCCTTTTATTTGAAAAATCATTGTCTCAAATGAATTCTGTTTATTTATAATGAAGGCAAATGATGTTCCTCTGAAAGCAAAATATTAACTTATTTTATGGAACTTCTAAGTTTAAATGTGGAAATATGACTTACTATAAAGACATAAAATCTTGTATCATCTAAAGCTATTGATCTCTTCCATCAGAAACCATATTTGTTTAGAGTTGCATGTAAAGCCGAAACAGAGGGTGGGCAGATTGCTTTAGTATGTCTGATGAGAGAAATCAGGTTTGACATTTCCCAGTAAGGATGGTTTATTGAATTGAAATAAATAGTCTGAAATCTAAAATTTTCCTTTACCCTAAATAGAATCTGGGTAAATTAAGTCCAGTACTAATTTTCCTGGAATGTCAAAGGAGTATAAGAACAAGAAGCCACTGGAATGCCAGATTTTATACACTGCAGTCTTCTCATCTAAACTATTTCAATTTCCTTTTTCTACACAGCTGCAGTATTCACAGGATTCTATAAGAAACACATCAAATGAGAGCACCCATACCATCAAATGGATCAAAACTGATCATAAGTGTTCTCTTACAAGAACTATATAAAAGCTTAGAGTTACAGGATAGCAGTTTACTTAGGGATGATTTTTAAGTGGAATTTTGAAATGAGACAAAATTCCACCTGGGCAGAGTTGAGGAAAGGGAGCAGAAACTTTCTTTACACTGAAGTGTATTGAAAATACTCAGAATATTGTACAAACAAAACAAATCTTAGAATGACTGGGAATAAATGTTTAGAATCAGAAATTTTAGCAATATTTGCACATAAAAAGTATTCAGTAATATGTATGAGTAAGTGCGTGCATTCATGAAAATTGAGAGAGGATGATGAATTTATCTTGCCTGCTAATTCACCTTTAGCTGAGGACCAGCTAATCTTTTATTGGGAAGACAGGAGTAAAACTATACCATTAGGGGCTGAGCCTGTGGGGCACTCGGGAGAGTGCGGCGCTGTGCTCCCGCCACGGGTTCGGATCCTATATAGGGATGGCCAGCACTCACTGGCTGAGCGCGGTGCAGCCTCAAAAAAAGACCAAAAAAAAAAAAAAAAAAAAACCCCAAAACGATATCGTTAGAATTAGAATAAAGGTAATATATATCCTGGTTTCAGACTTTGTTTTGAATACAGATTTCATTTCAAGTCTGACTGCCAGTTATCTCAGTGAATAAAGCTTATGATGATCTCTTTCAGCCTGGAATAAAGGAAAATCAGAAAGAAAATTCTAAAATGAGTGGTCTGTTAGAATTATGTTAGGAGGTTCTTCCATTTGGACATCAATATTAAGATACTGGATTTTACCATTAATTCATTTCTGAAATCAGAAATGAATTTTTAAAATTTTTGATGCGACTTTTTGATGGCGAAGGTTTCTTTCCCTCTTCTTCATAAGATTTGACACTTTGAATCTCCTTTTGTCAATGTATTAACCACCAGCAGGCAATCTTGAGAGTCGTCATTTGCTGAATGAATGAATGGTAAGATCCTTTATATAATAAGTATATCCAAAAAAATTTCCCCGAGGTATTCATTTTTCTGTTTCTACATTAAACCAAGCCCATTAAATCTGTATTAGTGAGACAACAACTTTAGAGGACTAAAAATTTAGGTCACTTTTGTGTTCTGTTAACCTTAGGATTTAACGTTGTCCAAGAACAAACGTATCCAAATGTATATATGTTAATTCCATCTTGTTTTTAGGAGAATTGAAGAAAAAGAACAGCAAAAGTGACTTATCTGTATAATATATCCAATTTTAGGTAAGAAATCTCTAATTTTTCTTTTCTTTTTTTTTTTTTTTTGTCTTTTGTCTTTTTTCCGTGTCCGGCAACGGATCGCAACCCTCAGTGTTGCCCCCGTACCGGACCGGGGACCGGCAACGGGATTGCAAACCTCGGCGTTGCTCCCGCGCCTCGCTCAGCCAGTGAGCGGGAACCGGTCCGTATGTGGGATCCGAACCCTCGGCGGGAGCGCCGCCGCGCTTCCCAAGCGGTGCACTATCCAGTGCGCCACCGGGCCGGCCCAGAAATCTCTAATTTTTCGATATCTCTAGTTACCTTCTATTATTCAATGCCAGGTGGCACTTTATTTCTGGTCAAATCAATCAATCCAGATTATTTTTCTTTTTCTCTAATTTCTTTCCACTAGAAAGAAGTTTCATTTTCGTGATTTATCACAGATCACCTTCAATAGCTTGCATTTGACATCTTTTTGACTATATTTTCATTTCCAACCATAGAAAAAACTACATAGAATTTTTAAGAAATGGGAAATAAGAGGAAGAACAGATAATGAAAAAACAATTCAGAAATATTAAATTACTATATGAATTGTTATTGAAACACATAAGATGAGGAGGAAATTGAGGATTTAAAATAGTGAAATAGATATACAGAATATATGACAGACAATTTTTTGGAAAGGATAAGGGATTATTTTCTATAAAAAGAAGAGCAAATGTCTTGCAAAAAAATTAGGATAATATTTATCATGTGATATTTATCATAGCCTCAGTATTGTCAATCTACCACAATTCAGTAGTGCTATTCACTTGAGCATTTATACTGAGTACTCTGAGATACTGAATTCAAAAGGTGAAATATCAGATCGGGAAAAATTGGAAACATCCTATTGATTCTAAAATATAAATTTTATATCATTTTATAGTTTGAATCTTAAGTCAGTTTAAAGATCTTAAGCATTTTTGTGTAGCTTTCATGGTTATTTAAAGACTTTCTCTCTGCCTATAAACTTTGAAAAATATTATATTTAGAGTTGGTATTGCAGACACATTTTTGAGTTAGCATTTTCCTCTCTTTCTTTTTTACAGTCCTCCTTAACGTTATTGGTGGCAAGCAATGGCCCAAAACATTCACAACTACAGTTATAAAATTTCAGTTATTCTCTCACAGTAATAAGAAAAATATGTTAAATGTGGAGAATACATGTCATTAGGTAGAAAAATTACTTTTTTTTTTACTGTGCTACCCTATAACCAGTTTCTCCAGAAATTTAGAAACACGGTCTTCCAAGGTTGTCATCCAAGAGTAAATCATAAAAAAGTATTCTATGGACTTATCTTTCATCTAAATTATTAAAAATTTAATTAATATTTACAAAAGACATTTCTATTTTATACTAAAATAATATAAATTAATAAAAATGGAAATTCATAGGTTTTAAAATAAGTTGTTTTATGAGCAGGAAAAGTAAACAAAGGAAAGATGGAAATCCAGTAGAAGTCTGATAACAAAAGGATGAGAAAATTATTGACAGCAAGTTGTGAGTATGTCTAGGCAAATACAGCATAGTAAACTGACACAGATAAAAATACATGAATTAAAAAGGCTCATATGCTGGGATGATTTTAAATTGGATGTAGGCACTGGAAGAAAGTCAATACTGTCTGATAACAGAAAGTAGATATGGGGCTGCCATGTTGCACAACTCTAGGGTACACTATTTTTAGTGTACATTATATGAATTATATGAACGGTACTCCCTGGAGTTGTGCAATGGGGCATGCCTGTTGTTAGTATTTAAATACTTCTTGCTGGGCCGGCCCGGTGGCGCGCTGCTACAGTGCGCTGCTTGGGAGTGCGGCAACGCTCCCGCCGAGGGTTCGGATCCCACATACAGACCGGCCGCTCACTGGCTGAGCGAGGTGCGGGTGCAACGCCGAGGGTTGCGATCCCGTTGCCGGTCCCGGTCCGGTACGGGTGCGACACTGAGGGTTGCGATCCGTTGCCAGTCACGAAAAAAGACAAAAAGGAAAAATAAATAAATAAATAAATACTTCTTGCTGTTTTCTTAGCATTGTTCTGATCAGTTCACTTGTATTAAATTATAGCTAATCAATCTAAGATGGGGAATTAGATCTGGGATTAATGGGACAATTAATAGGATTCCTGGGACTTGAATGATCACATAATTGTACGGGTCAGAAGAGTCCATGGTCAAGAGTCTAGTTAGAACAGAGGGTTTTAATGGAGAGATACGTATGTATATTTAAATCATTTCCAAAATACTTAAAATAGTTGTCATAGGGAAAAACCCACCTATACTTCTGCTACTTCAACATATTACTTTCGTTTTTCTATACTCTTTTCTATTTTAGGTTCATATTCACATTACTGTAAGCATGTTCAATAAGTTGAATTTTGATTCCTATTTAAGTATTCTAACTGATGAAGAGGACCACCACTTATTTAGTTTTTCATATTTTGATTTATATACTGATATTGTTCTATGCCTCTGACTTGTATGTAGTCTTTCCTGTGACTTATAACAGGTTCCTAGACCTGACCAACTGTGCTTGGCCAGTTTCGTGGCTCCCAGAGCATGTTTATACCTAGAGAGACAATCTTATTTTTGTACAGAATATGTTCCTGTATACACTTGAGACAGTTGAATGTGAAGGAACTGAACTATAGATGTTTGAAAACAATGTTTTAAGGAAGGTTCTGTCCTTGAGAGTTTAAAATATTATAAAAATATTAAAAGCATTATCAAGTTATTTTTAATTATGTAGACTGATGTAATCTTGATGATACAGTTCCAGCATTTTATAGATGTTCTTTATTTTTGTTCTTTTGTAGTAGAACAATGGAATGTTCTACTTTAAGTGGAATGACTTAAAGTTGACTTATAGTAGAATATACAGTTGACTGAGCTCTTCATTGAGGGTAATGATTATTTCTGTCTTCATATTAATTCAGTTAAATTTATGAGACTTGCATTTTTTTACCACTAGTTTTAGCACTTTCATTTTTCTGTTTTCCTACCATGTTTACAAAATAAGGGGAAATGAAATATAAAATGCAACAATTTTGTAATCTCCTATGCAAAGATTGCGACATTAGTTAGCAGGTAGCATCAGCTCAGAGTTCAAAGTTCATCTTTGTCAGCTGATGCTCAAAAGTTCCAATTTTGTAATATTTAATGTGGTTTAGGGGTGTCACATTACATATGTCTAATGTCTACATAAGTCTAATGTCTGTCTTTTTTTTTTTAAATATACCCTTCCTGGTGG